AATGTGTGTATGAATTTTTTAATAGTATCTAGAATTACAAATTTAAAAGTGAATAAGTGAACAATTACATACAAATAGATGTTAGTCAAAAACTCACTTCACTTTCCGTAAAAGTGATAGAATCTCCAGAAGCTTTTGTGGAGAAATTTGATTATAAGAAAGAAACTTATCCCTTATAATGCAAAAGTCTGTGAATGACCAAAAGATAAGTAGGGTACATTACAAAAATTGCTGCTAATTTACAAGACTTGTTTTTTAAAGGATTTTTCTTCAAATCCTAGGAAAAAGAAGTACTTGACATGTACAACTGAAGTATTTCATGTTATCAGTTGTATAATAAATTCATTTATCTAGGCGCTTGTTCAGATAAATACAATATAGTACACATATGCTCAGTGCAAGAACTGGTTTTGTAAAAGTTGAAAGAATTGTTACACAATCAAAATCAGTGAGGTAGTATACTAGAAAAATTGTGCATGGTTCCCTGTTGTCTGAAGTGCACATTCCTGTCATTGACCTAATAAGGCTCCAAAATGTGGTACTAAGCCACTTCTGGAAGCATCAACTATTGCTTTCAATACTGACATGAATTACACTCTTTTGTGACATCCTATTCCATTCCATTCCTGCATCGCTTTTCATGGAGACATGTTTTGACTCTCCATATAGGCTGCAGGGGAAAATATGGCAGAGGGGTGGAGTGAATGAGTTAAAGTTGGGTGAAATATTAACAATAAGTCACAGCTTCACCAAAAGGATGATATTTGAATATAACTCAGAAGGAACTGAGGAAGTAATACCTACAAAGATATAGAAGCTGAGTGCCCAAGAAAGCAAAGTGAACTATCAATACATAGTCTCTGAGAGAGAGATATATACTTCAAGCAAGTTCAAGTAGCTAGTGAAGCTAGGAAAGAGAAGAAGAATAGTGAGATTTGAGACCAAAGAGGGGTCAGAGGGTCAGAGAGAGGGGCTTAATTAGTCACTGAAAGGAATTTGAGTTTTCCTTTGAGTGAAGTGAAGAGGAAAGCCATAACAGATTTTTAGACATGGGAGTGACCTGATCTGATTTACCCTTTTTATATCTGGCTGCTATGAAAAGAAAGTAAAAGCAAAAGCCAAACCTGATGAGGGCATCACAATAACAAAGGCAGAGACAGCAGTGGTTTGAGCAGAATGTTAGCAATAAGAGTGTGAAATAGTTGCATTCTGTTTGTATTTTCAAAGTAGAATGATAGGACTTGCTGATGGATTGGCCATAGAAAAAGAAAAGCAAAAATGAATTTAACTGAAAGACTAAAAAATGCCACTTACCAACTTCATGATGAGAGTTGTTTTTGCAGATAAAATGTCAAAAAACTCTGAGGCCTGTTTAAGTTGGAAGTGAGTACTTAACTTTCAAGTAGAGATGTCAGGTAGGTAGCAGGGTCTCTGAGTCTGAAGTTCAAGAGGAATTGTGAGCTGATTTAATTTGCAAGGCATCTACTATAGACAGCACCTCCACAGCAACAAGGAAATATCAGTTCAACAGAATCGGAAATTTTCATTCTCCAGGTGCATCTTAACAGAGCCATCAGAAGCATCCCAGCTAAAGGAAGAGAAAAGGCTCCCCTTCACATATGAGGGATCTTGAGAAAGGCTTCAGGAGGCTTGGGAACTCATGCAATTGCATGCAAAATATGTGGGGGGAAACAGTATATTTTGGAGAAAGGGTGTGAATATCTATTACTGAGTACTCAAGGTGACTTCCCCATGGCTCTAAGTTTAATGGATTATTTGAATAAGAGTTCCAGTTTCAGGCCAAATGCAATGCCTGTAATCCTAGCACTCTGGAAGGCCTAGGAGGATGGATTGCCTAAACTCAGTTCAAGACCAACCTGAGCAACAGCCAGACCCTGTCTCTAAAAAAATAGCTGGGCATTGTGGTGGGCAACTGTAGTCCCAGCTATTCCAGGGATGAGGCAAGAGGGTTGATTGAGCCCAAGAATTTGAGGTTGCTATGAGCTATGATGCCAAGGCACTCTACTGAAGGCAACAAAGTAAGACAATGTCTCAAAAAAAAAAAAAGAAAATTCCAATTTTATTATTTACTAACGGCATTTTTGCACATGGTAAAATAGGAAAAATATTGTTTGCTCTGAGAATTATAGGAGATAAAGAGAATTACTGGAGAATTACTTGAAAATTAAGTTAGGAATCTATGTCATGAATATAAATCAAACACTCCTTACTCCTCTGACCTAGGACTCAGTCTTTTTCTAAGAGATATATCATCTTGTGACTTTTTTACTCTTATGGCAGTTATATTCTGAGAGCTTTTAATTATGTTTCCAGTCTACACATCTTCCCTAAATTCCAGACTCATATATATTCAGCTTCCTATTTCATATCTTCCTCTTAGATATGCAACAGGCATCTCAGTCTCCCCCTGGAAGTCCAAAACTTAAGTCTGCAATTCTCTCCAAAATTTGTTTCTTCCATATTCTTCCCCCTTTTAGCAACTGCCACCTCCATTCCAGTTGCTTTCACTGAAATAATTCAAATTATCCACAAATTCTTTTTCTCTCATACCCTACCTTCCCTAGCTCAGAAAAGAACTATTAACCTTTTCTTCAATATATATATAGAATCCAAACACTTTTCATAGTCTGTACCACTAATACATCGATCCCAGCCACTGTCATTTCTCACCTGCATTATCACAGTAGCCTCCCAACTGGTCTTCTGGCTCCTACCCTGAGTCGCATTAGTCTTCTCATTCAGGCATTCTGATGGGTCATTGAAAAATAGAACTGCAACTAAAAAATAGCTGGATGTTGTGGCAAGGACCTGTAGTCCCAGCTACTCCGGAAGGGGAGGCAAGAGAATTGCCTAAGCCCAGGACCTGGAGGTTACTGTAAGCTGTGTGACACCACGGCACTCTACTGAGGGTGATAAAGTGAGACTCTATCTCTACAAAAAAATCAGATCATTTCAGTTCTTTGCTCAAAACCCTATAGTGGCTCCCCCACTTCACTCAGAGTAAAGGCCAAAGTAGTTACTTTGCCCTACAGAGCCATATAGGAACTACTCACCTCCATTTGCCTTTCAGATAAGATTTTTCCTCCACATGCACTGTGCCCCTTCACCCAGCTACAATACTTCCTTACTACCTCCAGGCTTTCCTACTTGGTCTTCTTTCTGGAATACTCCCTCACGCTTCTCCAACCATCATTTTATCAGAAAAGCTTTTATTTAAAGTGTCACCTCCTCCTGCCATGCTGTGCCTCTTCCAGCTTCTGACACATTATACTTTACTGTTTATACATTCTACAGCCATCTGACACATTATACTTTACTGTTTTTGTTTGTGCACTCACACCCAATAAATATAAATCCCACAAATTCAGAAATATTATTTTGTTGACTTGCTCATTGCTATAATTCCGGCCAGGCGCAGTGGCTCACGCCTGTAATCCCAGCATTCTGGGAGGCCAAGGTGGGTGGATTGCCTGAGTTTATGAGTTGGAGACTAGCGTGAGCCAGAGCAAGACCTACTCTGTAAAAATTGGCTGGGGCTGCAGTGGGGTGCCTGTAGTCTCATCTACTTGGGAGGACGAGGCAAGAGAATCGCTTGAGCCAAGAGTTTGAGATTGCTGTGAGCTGTGTGACACCACGGCACTCTACCAAAGGTGACAAAGTGAGACTGTGTCTCATTAAAAAAAAGAAAGAAAGAAAGAAAGAAAAATGCTATCCCAGGACATAGAACAGTGCCTGGCACATACCATGTGCTCAATTTTGTTTGTGTTAAATTAACAAGCTCCTATTAGTTTTTCTCCTGAAATCTATCCCTTACCTCCAGTAACATTTGATTCCTTTCATAATTATGCACAAGGCCACATCATTACAAAAGGCAAGATTAAAAATAACTCTACTTGATATTGCTATCAAGTTATCACCCTACAAATTTGCTGGACACAAGGAGGAAAACCTGATTTTATAGTGGAACATTTGCTGTAAGCCAGGAAATTTCTATTATCTTTAGATAGACAGAGAGTACCTCTGATGTGGTACAAGATTATGTACATACCACGTACAGTGAGAGACCAAAAAAAAAAAAAATGTATAGATGTTTTAAGAAAGGAAAAAACTACTTTTTAAGTAGCATTTTTTTAATGTGTATACTTTGGGGGGGGCACCTTCTACATAAATTTATTACTGACAAGCACATTAACCTGATTTCAGTCTATCGAAATCACGTCTACTTTACAGGACATAGAGTATAGACTACAAGTAAAGCCATCTTATTAAGAAAAAAAAACAGTCCAAAAAGTATTTTACAGTTCTAGACCCCAGCACAATCAAGAGTCAAAAAACGAGAGAAAGGAGGAAAGAGACTATTTTCAATTCACATTTGGGACAACACCTAAGTCACAATTAAGAGCTTTTACTAAACAGTAACTCCAAGATCTTTGGGACATAAATGGGATATTAAGTTAATGTAAACTGGGCATAAACTCTAGTTTTTATAGTTACGTATGAGGTATGGACGAGTTTTTAACAGTGCTTACTTCATTGAGGTTAAAACATCCAGGTGCCTGCATGGACACTTTTAGAACGCTATCATCGCTGGTTGTTAACAAGTTTAGCTGTTTCTAAATTGCTATTAGCATTCTTTAATGTTCCCACAACTAAGTCATAAGTACGTTACTATCCATACCAAAAATTGCCTTTTGCTTCCACCCCACAACCAAAGCGCGGCCTTTTGTTCTCGCTCTCCCCGCCATTTTGAGCACGGTAAGACTGGCTATCTCGGGACAGCTCACACTCTTTATGTAACTAAATACAAAGTACCGTTAAAAAGACCTCGGCTGCCATCATAGAAAACTACAACGTTAAAATACTTTCATACTTGGAGTGTAAATAAGCTTAAAAAGGAAATTCGACATAAGCTACAACGGACACACTAGATATTTTCAGGACAAAGCCAAACACTTAAAATGTCAGCTCTTTCACGGAAAGATGTGGGCGGCCCTGAAAAGGGCCTTTGGTTCAGAAATAAGTTTCGGTTGTGAAATGCGGAGCCTTCAGCCACCAAAGCCATAAAGAGTGCGCCCCTGTCGCTTGAGAGCATACACCACATCCATGGCAGTTACCGTCTTCCGCTTGGCGTGTTCTGTGTACGTGACAGCATCGCGGATCACGTTCTCCAGAAAAACCTTCAGCACCCCGCGAGTCTCCTCGTAAATAAGACCAGAGATGCGTTTGACACCACCGCGCCGAGCCAGACGCCGGATAGCAGGTTTGGTGATCCCCTGAATGTTATCACGTAAAACCTTGCGATGGCGTTTGGCACCTCCTTTGCCAAGCCCCTTTCCACCTTTACCACGTCCAGACATGGCTGCAAAATCCCCAAGGCCAACTCCTGAGAAGTATCTCCTGCAAACAGGCGATAGCCCTTATATGCAAGAATTTCGGACCTAATTGAAAACTTCATACGGGAACTTTCGTCGCGCCTGCTAGCCCCACCTCTCACAGCTGAGCCCAGTGCAACGTCACCAAAGATTAGGCCGGAAGAGCCGCCGTTGGTGTGGAGGAGCAAAACCTGGGATTCCAAATATAATTTTCGAGAGATATTAAATACGTCGGACTAAAGAAATTTACTTTTTTAGTGCTTATTCGCTGCTTGGGATGTTTTAAAACGATTTTTAGGAACCTTTGTCACACTGTCAGAACTGCAGCAATCTCTGTCGAATGCGGAGTTCAGTTTTTTCCCCACGTTCGCAGTGCCTTCTACATTTCCACTCCCCTGTTATAACTCTGAATGACCAAACCCACTGTGAGCAGTTAAAAATATGCAGGACTCCATTATCTCTTTTACCAAACCAAGGGAATTCTGAACGAAAGGGTTTTCTTCCCGAAGGCAAAGACAAGGTTAGTTAGTGATTCGGGGTTAGAATTGTCGCCTGTCATGCCTCCAGAGGCCTGTGTTCCATTCCTGGCTTGTTTCTCTTCCTAAAATCTGCAATTTCTCTTTAAAGATTTAACCGTTCCTCGCATCTGCACCCAGGTACTTAGTAATGTGTTAATGTTTACTTCTCTATTCTCTCTTTGATTCTGGTAGTAAGCATCCTTGTTCGAAAGAAAATTGGTAGCCTGTGATAGCCAAGGTAGCAACATAAATAGGCAAATTCCCACGGGCGTTTCGGATATTAGTTTACCCATATGGTGTTTCAGTAACATTAATGGTGTTAAAAGAAAACTTGCGTCGCCAAGCAGCAGAGTGGCGCAGCGGAAGCGTGCTGGGCCCATAACCCAGAGGTCGATGGATCGAAACCATCCTCTGCTAGTTGGACTTTTTTTTTTTTTTCCCCCATTGTTACCCAGAAGATGTAGGTGAACATCCTGACTGTAAAGCTCATCACTGTGAGATTTATCTACAGAGGTTAATGAAAACTCAAACAGATTTTCTGCATTAACTTTGCCGTGGTAAATGTCTAATTCTGGAATGGTGGCAGGTTTTGAGCCAAAATTTGAATAACAGCTTATCAGACAGCCAAGAAGACCATTAGGAAAACAAAACAAATACAAGGAGGAATGATAATTAAGGATTTAAGGAATTATTCAAAATAATTTATTTTATTATTAATATTTTAATTATACAAAATAAACTGTTGTATTCATTTTAGGAGGCAGAGTCTCGCTCTGTCAACCCAGCTCTAGTGCAGGGGCATCATCATAGCTCACTGCAACTTCCAAATCCTGAGATTAGGTGATCCTCCTCCTGCCTCAGCCTCCCAAGTAATGCACACCACCTTGCCCGGCTAATTCTTCTCTACTTTTGGTAGAGATAGGGTCTCGCATTCTTGAGCTCAAAAGATCACTCACTGCCGGTTTGACCTCTCAGAGTGGTAAGAGAGCCACCACATGAGGCAGGAAGTACAAATAAGTCATTGTGATAAGAGTATGCGGTGAGGTGAGGTGTGAAGAGAAGGATTTGAAAAGTAGCTATGTTTTTATCACCACCTATTCACCTGTTGATGAAGAAGGAATCCCCCTACTCTACACAGCCTGAAGGATGAACATGGGACACACAACACTGGATAGAGAAGACTGTTAGCAATTTATTAATCACATAAATTTACAGCTTGAAAAAGGATGTAGCACGCAAGGCTGTGTGGAAGGGTTGCACTCGGGAGCAGAATGAACCAGTAGGGGATGTGAGAAGCAGGCTTTGTAGTAATCAGAGGGTGGGATGACCCCTGGTTCTCTCCAGATAATGTAATTGACTTGTTTTAACAGTTTTGGAGGCTGGCAGGGAGGTAAAACATATCAGGCTGAGGACCAAATAGGATGCAGTAGGCCTGGCTGAAATAAAGGAATGGGTCAAATGGGGAGTTTTTCCTTTTCTTGGACACGTCTAGAGCAAGATAGGGAAACTTGTGGTTGGGCCTCTTAGGGGGCTTGTGAGGGTCAAATATGTCATGGCAGCACTTGAAATTTTACATCTTAAAATGCATCTGTGTTATGGCTGAGCAAATAGGGAAAGAGCAGGGGTGAATATAAATTGCAAACAGGTTTAGATTTTATTTTTTACAGAGCAATAGGAAACTATTGACCAATTGTGAGCAAAGAATTTGATCAAATTCTCTCCTTAGAAAAAAGTCTCTGTAGTTTTCATGTTTGTGCTCTGGTTCTAATCACACCCCAATCTAATCAACAAACTCTTCAAAATATATTTAGAGTTCGACCACTTCTCACTACTTCTGCCAGTACTACCTGTGATAGTTTAGCCATAATCATGTCATCTGAATATTGCAATAGCCTTCAACTGTCCTTTCTCCCTCCAGGAAGAAAGAGAAGGCAACAAGTCCATTTTCAGATTTTTACAGAATGGAAGACTTTTCACATTCAGTAATCCCCACATTAAAGGTGATTGTAGAATCTAAAAGATATATATATAGAGATATATAGATATATATACATCATATGAGAAGATATTTTTATTGAACTCCTACTATTTGCCAGATGTTATTCTATGAATAGAGAAAGAAATAACATGTAAAATATCTCATTTCCATCCTCCAGAAGCTGCTAATTTACTAACCTAAAAAAGCCAAGATCTTTCACAAATGAGCCAGGAAGACCTTTGCTCCGGTGTCTGGGATTTAGAAAAATTAAAGAAATGCTTTATGTGTAGACTGCTGACACTATTGTCAATTGAGGTACATAAGGTGACAGATGGTAACAGGCTTGAAAGAAGCCATCTAAAATACACATCTAAAATACAACTTTAAATCTATATCCCATTATGGGGCCAAGCACTCTATAGAACGTTGTAAATTCTATAAATACTTCTCCATATATATGATTTTATTGGATCCCATTTTTATGTTGATTCATCTATTAAATGTATTATTAATAGTTAAAATGTTTATATTCCTATTTTGTGTTTCTTATTATTATATGAAAGACTCAAAAATAGTAATGACCCTGGATCTTTGTATACTCCTGAGAAATTCAAGAAAGGTGTTTTCCTTTTTTCCCCCAAACTGGCACATGCTGTGAAAGGTGCTCTAATATCATATCATAACAATCAGAGAAAGTACCAGAACAGCATGGAAAAGGGAAAATTGTTATAGAGATCATTCAGGATGACAGATGATGGCTTGTGGTGAAACTGTCTTCCAGGTGCAGTTTCCTTAACAATACTCTGGGCAGATACCAGATGTAGCTAGAGTCTATAAAGGTGAATGTGAGTAAGCACGGATATTAAAGAAATCTGAGCTTATTAAAAAATATCCCTCAGTGCAAATATGCAATATTTTGCCATATTTTAGGTCCCATAAACTCCACTTTTTCTGCCTTGGGAGTCATAGAGGAAACCTTTTTGTCCAGGGAGCAACCATATACCACAAGACTGAAATAAACTCAACTGTTCATAAGTCCTGACTGGTCCCAAATAACTGCCATTTTTCCAATGGCTAAAAGCACCTGAAGCCACAAGATGCTTTAACCTTAAGTGCAGGATGGAGCAGAAAGCTCACTATACTTTTTAAGTATTGCGCTAGAGGAGGAGCTTAGAAGGACCAGGTGGCCAAGGGGGATAAGGCATCTCACTTTGGATCAGAAGATTGAGGGTTCTAACCTCTTCGTGGTTAATGGGATGTTAGCTTTTTCCAGCTCTTACAAGACTCAAATTGAAAAAAAATTTCACTCATTGAAAAAAAACAGATATCAAACTTTATTATACTAAGTTCTATTATTAGAAAAGGCACATATTGTATATTGTCTATTAATGATGCACCCTAATAACATTAGTGATATGTTTCTCTTTTCAATGGTATATATCTAAAGTACTTGAAACAGTGCCTGGTATATGGCAAGTGTCCAATGAATAGTTGAATAGTATCAATAGTGATTGATAGTGCTATGGGAAAAAAAAATAGGCACAGGAGCAGCATAGGGAGCAGTAGTCAGGAAATTACCAATGGAAATGATATTTGATTTAAATTTCAAGTCAATATCTGCAAAGAGATTCAGAAAGAGAGAATAACAAGTGCAAAAGCCCAGAGATAGGAGTATGTCTGGAGTGTTCAAGGATTAGCAAGAAAGCCAGCACAACTGGAAGAGATAGAGCAAGAGAGTATTTAATATAGGTCAGAGGCCAGAAGGAAGTAGACCAATTAGGGTCTTCATGAAATGGCTTTTATATGGAGCAAAATGGGAAAGGATGGAAGTTTGAAACAGGTAAGTGGCAGCATCTGACTTACCTGTGAGAAGAATTATACTGGCTTCTGGATGAGGATAGAATATAGCAGAACAAGTGGGGACAGGAGGCTGGTTCATGGTGTCCTGACTACAACGACAGCAGTGGAATTAGGATGAAACAATTTATTTCTGAATATATTGTAAACAAAGAACCAAGAGGCATACTTCTTTTCTATTTACTTTATTCCTTTTTCTTGTTCTTTAATAGTAAGGAAAAGGCAGGACCTTTGAGTTTAAAAAAGGTAAGGGGCACAGGGGAAAATGCTCCAAATCTACCTACCTACTTTGTAACACCACAAAGGGATGTGAGCTCATTTCAAATCATTGCTTGATATGTATTAAAAGAAGTGATATATAATCTTAAGAGACAAAAAAAGAGAATGACAAATATCCTGTGTACATTCTTTTCTGCCAGGGTCAGTTTCTAATCCTTCTCCCTCCACAAACGCGCACACGCCATATGACTCAGTATTTATTTTATAAATATCTGTTGAATGTTTACAACATGCAAAGCTAGAAAGCCAAGGATATAAAAAAGTAGTAGTATCCCTATCTTATTCCCAAGGAAGGTAAGTGGGGGAGGAGTGAAACTGTTCAGTCATCTGTAACATCAAACATCTTTCATTCTTCACTAGAGAAAAAGCAAAACA